TGGTATTGCAGATTGAATCTAAAGCTTTCAAACAGCTGCATCCTCAGCCCCTTTTTTAGTTTTTATTTTGAGTCTAAGTTACTGAATTGCTCGGGCTGAGCTCACACTTGTGAGCCTCCTCTCTCAGCCTCCCAGAGTGCTGGAATACAGGTGTGCGCCATCATGCCTGCTTTTTTTGTCTTGTTTTTTTCAAGACAGCATCTCTCTATGTAATTCAGGCTGGTCTTGACTCACTATGTAACTCAGGCTGGTCTCGAATTCACAGTGATCCTCCTGCCTCAGCCTCCCAAGTGCTGGGATTACGTGTGGCACCACATCCCACTCCATGCCTGGTCTTAACTGTATGTTTCAAAATAGCCAGCAGAGAGGAAGTTGAACGCTCCTAACACAAAGAAACGATTAATGTCTTAGGTGACAGAAATGCCAATTACCTGATCTTATCTCTATGTTGTATACATGCATTGAAATGGCATAATGTATCCCATAAATATGTATAATTATTATGTGTCAGTTAAAAGATATTTTTTTTAAAAAGACACAAAGAAATACTTCACATCGTTTTATGTTCCCCAAAGGCCCATATGTTGGCTTGGTCCTCAGCCTGTAGTGATATTGCGGGCAGTGGCGCCTTTAGGAGGTGGCCTAGTGGGAGGTCTCAGGGGGACCTTGGTCTTCTACTCTCTCTTCTTCACTCTCCAACCACAGGATGGACAGTTTCAGCCAGCACTCTTGCCTGATGTGCTCCTTACCACAGGCCCAAAAGCAACCTCCAAAACTGTGGTCCTAAATAGGCCTTTCCTCTTTTTAACCTTATTCCCTCAGGCATTTTGTTACAGTAGTGGAAAGCTAACACAATTAGGAGGGCTAACATTAAGAACAAAACAAAACAAAAAACAGGCTGAATGTGTTGATGCATGCCTACAATCTCAGCTACTTGGGAGCCTGGGGCAGGAGAATTTCAAGTTCCAATCCAATCTGATTTCCAACCAGGGTCCAACCAAGGGTCTTAGCAAGACCCTGTCTCAAAATAAAAAAAGATTTGGGGATGCAGTGGTGGAAAAATCTGGGGTTCATCCCCAATACTGGAAAAAACCCCCACAAAAACAAAACCAAAATGGGGCTGGGGATTTAGCTCAGTGGTTCCACTGCCTGCTTTGCAAGCATAAGGACCCGAGTTCAATTTCTGGTACCAAAAAAACAAAACCAAAATTAAAAAATCTCTAAGCACACCCCACCCCAAAAGATTAATAGACAGCAAGGGTGTACAGCACTTGGACTGCTGGGAATGCAAAACAATACAGTCTCCATGGATAACAGTATGTTGATTCCTCAAAAATCACACACAGAATTACCATGTGATCCAGCGATTCCACTTCCAGGTATGTGTCCAAAAGAACTGAAAGCAAGGGTACTTGTTCATGGCAACATTAGTCACAGTGGCCTAAAGGCAGCTGGAACCTATCAACAGGGGAGTGGATAAACAAAGAATGGCATGTGCCTACAACGGTGTAGTATTCAGCCTTAAGGGGGGCCCTGTCACCTGCTATGGAATGGAGGAACTTTGGTGGCTTTTTGTGAGGGGAAATAAGCCAGTCACAAGACAAATTATAACTGCACTTTCATGAGCTACCCGGAGAAGTCAAACTCAGGGAGACAAAGAGCAGGGTGGTGCTTGGCAGGCACTGGAGGGAGGGGAGAGGGGAGCCATGGTCACCGAGTATGGAGTCTCCGTTTGGGTAGGTGGAAATGTTCTGGAGATGCATGGGGCAGTGCTTGCCCAACAACGTGAATAAATGTAATGTCACTGAACTGCACACTTTAAAATGCTTAGCCTACAACAGTAAATGAGTACTTTACCATGATTTTTAAAAATTAATTTTTAAAAGTACATGACCGGGTGGTAGCATTGGAGTTTCTTTCTTCATCCTAGTTTGGTGACTACTTCAAAGTTTGCTTCAAATTCTGGTTGCAGAGTGGTGAACCAGCAGGCGGCCAGGGATGTGATGGAGCAGGGAGAGGAAAAGCCAGCCGGAAGCTGAACACTGTGCATGTACATCCCGCCCCGGAGGACTCGCCTCAGCAGATAAAACTGAGAGCCCTGAGCCGGTCAGAATCACCTCGGACCCAACGCCACCAGCCCTGAGTGGCCCAGACCTGGGTTGCGAGGAAGAAACGTGGACGCGTGGGCCTGGCTGTGGGGAACGGAGGCATCCCCTGTGAGTGCTGGGCAGGCTCTGAAGGCTGCCCCATGGGGAACAGCCCAACCCATTTTATGACCAGGGAAAAACAATTTTCTTAGGAATCGGACATTTTCTTAATGTCAAAATTTGGATGAAAACCACAGTAGAGATGAGAGGACCCAGAGGAGGACAACTTGGGCCCACGTGGCCACTGAAGACTTGCTGGAACTGGGGGTGTCCTGTGACAGAATCCAAGAAAACACGGCATGTAACCATAGAAACACAACTGAGCAGCGATTGTTTATATCAAAATTGGTGGGCACTATAAATTGCTTCCCCTCAACTCTGACAGCCTGAGCATGTTTAAGGATGGCTGGTTTTACAATCCTGGCATGGAATTTAATGACAGGAAAACCTTAAAACCAGGGCTAAGAGTTGTTGCTAATTGAAGACTGACCATTAAAAGTGCATGTGAAATTATTTTGCAACTAGCACTGCCTTTTATAGTATGCGCCACTTTGTGGCTATTTCCATGCCAATAATCTGTTGTTGTTTTGAGACAAGGTCTCACTACATGGTTCAGGTTGGCCTTGAACTCACAGTGATCCTCCTGCCTCAGTCTCCCAAAGTGCTGGGATTACAGACATGCACCACTACGCCCAGCAATGCCAACAATTTACTCTACACCCTTGCACAAACTTCCAGCTTGCCTGAGCTTCCACCTGACTGTGCATGCAAGGCATATTCTTTTTCACATCCATCTCGGGAACTCTGATTTTTTTAAAAAATGGATTCAGAAGCACACACATTGTTCAGAGGAAAGAGGACAGAGAAGGGGCACTTGGAAGTAGACAAAGGCATCTTTCCTCTCCTGGTCTTTCCATGATACTCCATGCCCCCGACACCCCATTATCTGTGTCCCCAGGATTGGTCAGCTGCTGCTAGATCTTCCTTGCTGCTGATTCTGAGTGAGGCACTCTGATCAGACTACACACTGCCTGAGGGCAGGGCTGCATCTCCCCATCCACCTGGGACTCTACCAACAGGCACAGTAATAGCTGACACTCGGTGAGCAATTACCATGAGCTAGGAATTATTCCAAGCACCTGACACATACTAATCATTTTAATCCTCACCATGGTCCCAATGTTGGTTCTACTGTTATCTGCATTTAGCAGATGGAGAAATTAAAGCCCAGAGAGGTTAACTAACTTGCCCACGCTCATTCAGCTAGTGAAGTCCTAGAAGGCTTGCCACCTTCCTCACATTTTGGGGGCGGGAGGGGGGCTCTGCTTAGCCTGGGTCCTGTGCTTTCTGCACTTGGTTAATTTTCTGCCAGCGACACTGGGGGAGCGGTAGGAAAGGCACTTAGAGGGCTCTCATCACCATCAGACGGGGGAGCCCCCAAGGGCTGGGGCCACCGTCCTTCCAATATGTGGAGAACGTTCCAACCCTTTGGTCCCAGAGGCCCTCCCCAGATGGGACCCTCAGAGGATGGGGACCTGGCACTTCCCCAGAGCTGTCCCAGGCAGAGGCTGTGTGGGGCAGATCTGGCCACCTCCCAGCGTTGCTTCCTGCCCAGCACTGGCTGACATGGTGGCAGCTCAGGGTCTGTGCAGCAGGCAATAGATAACTTCTCTCTGTCCTCAGCTCCTGGCCGGAGGGGAGGGCAGGACTGAGCGTGAGGTGGGTCAGCCCCTGGGATTTCACAGGCAATAAACAACCCCATTCATGCGTCAGCTGTTTTGCTCCAGAGCAGTCTCATCAGCTGGACAGGCCCTGACCAGATCCCGCCAAGTTTATCCCCTGGGTGGGGCTGTGGCAGGCAACCGTGGACAGCCTGGAGCTCAGCTTGCTGTCTTTTCCGTAGGTGGCTTTCCATGCCCTTGAAGACTGAGAGTTTACTGGGGAGAAGCAGTCCCTGAGAAGCAGGGGAAAGGGTGCTTCTGCTTTTCAGGGGGCCTGGGTGGGGGCAACCCAAGAAAGGAGAATGGAAGTGGCAGTCAGCTGAGAAATGCCCCAGAGAAGCTTCCAGAACCACTGCTGCTCTCAGATCTCAGGGCTTAGAACAGATAGCCAGGACCCCAGAAACCTCCTGCACCTCGTTCTTCCTATCCTCTTCCCTCACTTCCCAGTCTGGGACCTCTGTCCAAATGGCGTCCACAGGCTCAATTCTATCATGAAAGGCAAGAAAAGAGAAAAAAGATGAGGGTCCTTGCCGGGCAAAGGGGAGGAAAGAAAGGCTCAACAGTCTATGTGGGGATTCAGAAGTGGCATTATAGGCAGAAGGATTGCAAAGGCAAAAACCCAAGGAGCAGAGACCAAGCTCCACAGAATAAGGTGGGGGCAGGGGGAATGGGACCATCACCACTTTCTACTTAACTTCTTTCTCCAACATGCTCATTTTTCTTCTCAGCAGGTAGACGGATATGGCATATTACAGCTTCTTTTGCAATTGGAGAAGCAGATTAGGTTGCCCATAGTCTATATAGAGTTTGTAGAAGAGCTGGGACTAAAATGCTTCTCCAGGGCTCTTTGGGCCACTCTTGAAGGTACAGGACCAGAGAAGATAGAGCATACCACAGACTGACAGCCACCAGGACCAACCAGCTCCTCAGTGGGTGGGGTGTAGGCCCCACCCACTACACCCAGGTCTGGAAGAAATCGAGAAGGACAGCAGAGGCGGCCACAACGAACGCAAATGCTCTACACAGATCCCTCGTGTCATGGCAAGGCAAACCCAGTTTTGGATTTCACTCTACTTTTAAGCCATCCATCCCACTGTGCCACCACAGCTGTCCCAGGGGCCCCTGCGCTTACCCGGTAGTGATGTCATCATCTTCCGTCATGGTTTTGCCCATGAGGTCACTGTCGCTCATGTAGCCGGACTTGAGGTCCACCTCATCCGAGTCCAGGGACTCGACCAGTTCCAGGCGGGAGATGTGGCTGAGCTTGCTGGGGCTGCGCATGGGCATGGTGTGGGAGTAGTGGGTGCGCTCCCCGTGCATGTACCAGGCGGGCGGCCCCTCGGAACGGCAGCTCCCGCCCACCGAGGGTGCATCACCGGCCTGCAGCCGCGGGCTGGACTGGCCATAGCGCCAAGAGAGGGGGGACGAGCGGTTGGAGAGGCTGGACACGCTGCGAGGGTTGGCGTCGTCACTGTCATAGCAGGTCATCTCCAGGGAGCTGGGCGGAGAGCAGAGGGCACGGCTTCAGTCCCCAGCACGGCCGCTGCCAGCCCTGTCCCTTCATTCACCCCAGCAATGGCTTCCCGCGTTGGCCTCCCCTCCCGCCTCCCCGGGAGGCCTCTAAATGGGATTCATCCTTGCTACAGACCGGTACCCCAGGCTGTCAAGAGAAAATGATTTTAGGTGGCCGGGAAGCAATCAGGCATGCTCCTAAGGGCCTGTGCTGTGTTACTGACCTGGGTTTAAATCCCTTTTTTTGCCATTCATTAGTAAGTGCACTCAAGGAAAGTAGTAAACCTTGCTAAGTCTCTGTGTCCTTATCAGTGAGATGGGGATAACAGCGTAACAGCCACTTCGTAGATCTGAGAGTATCACAGATATGCAGATCCGATTCAGTGCTTGATACACAGACAGCTCTCACTCAGCTCAGTGAGACTGGAGCTGCTCCCTGACTCAGAAGGCCTTGGTATTCACTCAGCTCCATCACTCTTTTTTATCAGTGAGCTGAGGGCCAGCTGATTCCTAGATGCCAGATCTGGAAGGTTTGGGGGGGGGGTGCGGAGGGTGTAGGGAAAGCTTCAGGAAGCTGAGAGGTGTGGCAGGCCCCCAGGAAGACTTCACAGTCAGCAGCCAGAGGCCTAAGGCTAGGGAGGCAGCAGAGCCTGCCCAGGAACGGAAGTGGCTTTCACTGGACAGAGAAGAGGAGGCCAAGCAGGATCCCAGGCCTCTGGCCCTGCCAGGCCAGGCCAGGCCAAGAAAGTGATGCTCAGGGTAGAGCCAGGGGGCTCAGGTTAGGGGGCCTTCGAGCCTTGGGAAGGGGAGGCTTTCTCCTCACAGGCCAGGGCGGCCGCAGAGGAAATACGGCTGGCATCTGGTTGGAGGGGTGGCCTGGGCTTGGGCTCAGACTGAGGCCAGGAAGTCCACCGAGCTGAGCAGGTGCCAACCCGGTCGGCCTTAGGTAGGGTCTCATCCCTTGGCCTGGTAAGAGCCTGACAGGACTGTGTACGTGAAATGGGGTCCTTGGGGTGCTGAGGCTGCCTGAGGCTGGACCTGAGGTGTACAGGACAAAGGAGCTGCAGTGAGCACATCCCTTTCAGAGCTGCTCTCAGGGTTGGGATGGGAGGAGGGCACTGAGTTTTCTACTCTTGTTTTTATAAAGTTCTTTGATAAAGAGAGAATCCTCCAAAATTGTCTCTGTTAGACCTGAGAAAAGAGGGTTTTATCTTTCCCTCAACACACTGGATCATGGCTCACGGTCCTGCAGACCAGCCCAACAGGGTCCTAGCCATCATCCTGAGGGTTCCTGACAGCCTACCCATAGCTTCTCCCCTCAGGCCCGGCAGCCTTTTAGGCTGTCTGTTTTCTCTGTTCTGCATCACACACTGTCCTGCTTCAGCATCTAACTCTGGGGGACCTGGACACCCCACATCCTGGGAGAGAACGGAAGCTCCCTGAAGCCAGAGCCCCTGGAGGAAATCTGGCTCTGCCTTGCTCCCCTCTGTGTTTCAGCTTGGGCCTGGTGTGCAGCTGGTGCCCAGTAACGGGTCGACCAGAGCAGACCCCTGTGAAGGTACTGAGGAAAGAGCTGGGACTTTCTCATCACAAGGCCAAGTCCAGGGCCTCAGGCAGTTCGGTGCTTGATAAAAACAGGCTGACTGTGACCACAAGATGAGGAGGCGGAAGAAGATGGTGGGGCTTCAGGGGAGCTGGCTTTGGCCCTTAGCCCGCACTGCGGTGATGAGCATGTGAGGTGAGGGTGACACTGACATCCAGGTTCCTCAGTTCTCTTGCTGGCCTGCCCAGTTTCGCTCTGCATGGAAGGTGCCTCCTCCTCTATTTTAAGGCTCTATTTTATCCCCTAACCATCTCCCTCCTGATCTCTTTAGACCTAAGTTGTCGGGCGAGGATTCCAGCTCACACCTCAGTCTCTGACTTGCAGCCTCTCACCAGGCCCAGGCTTGCTTCTCCAGAGAGGACAGTTTCATTTCCTCTCAGGCCACAGCCTGACCCAGACTCTCCTAGACCCTCTCCTCGCCGCCAGGGGAAATGAGCCAGTAGAAACAGGAAGTAGCAGAGGAACAGAGGGTTCTGGAACAGAACTGAATCTAGAGTTACCCTGTGAGTTCCAGAGAGAAAGCAGCCTCGCCCAAAGCACCCACTGGATTGAGGGCCCCTCGAGGATGAACCCTGCATTGCTCTGAGGGCCGGTGCCCAGTGCCACGTGGGCACACAGCTGCCCTCTCCCTCTCCCTGCCTCAGTTGCCTCTACTTTAGCCCAGGGAATATGAATATATCCTGCCTTCCCCAGGGCACAGGGAAGGGCTGACTGACAGACAAGCACTTTAAGACAAAAAGACAGCCAAGTCGAGGAATGGGTATTTGGGCTACCTGAGAGTGAAACGGGAGTAACCGAAACCAAAGGCTGAGAGGAAGTAGCTCCAGGCCTTCGGTAAACAGGAAATCCAGCCTCAGGGCTGGTGGTTCTTCTCCCCAAAGGGAGACAGGAGCCAGTGCTCTCAGCCTTCCACCCCTAAAACCAGGCAGCTTTCCACAAAGGCTTTCAGCCTACCCTCCCCACCCAAGCAGAAGCTGCCCTGCCCTGCTTCACAGGGAGGCCGGAGTGTCTGCCTCCAGTCCTGACCCTGCTTGGTGAGTCATCTGGGGTGCGACCCGCTCAGCAACTAAGCACTTTCTGGTTTCTTTGGCACAAGGCTGGTGGGTGACTTGGCACTGAGAGATGTTCCAGCAATTTCCCTGGATGATGTCTGAGATTTCATCCATTGGGGGGCTAAATTGGGGAGGCCAGTTGCACTGGGCACTCATTCCCTTTGGGTTCCTGCCCAGAGCTGGGGGAGGGACAGGAGGCAGATGTAAGGGCACCTGGGTCCACTTTCCCCCAGACCCGGGAATCATCTTCCTTTCAGTAGTCAGGGTCCTGCTGACCAGGCCAAGGGAGCCCAGAGAGGGGGTGCTTTATTTATTGTATCACTTAAAGGATTCTAGATGTCTGGGGTAAAGGGCTGGGTGTCCAAGATGGGAAAATGGGTGGTGCTGGGGGCAGGAAGTGGAAGGAAGGAGAAGGGAGGTCTCAGGGAGGAAGAACCAGGGCCAGTGGCTGTGGATGAAAGCCCCTGGCCGTGAAGCTGGGCTGCAGGTGATGGTCCCCACAGTCCCACCACGGACTGGGCTGCACCAAAGGTAACAAGCTCTCTGTCACTGAGGGTATGTAAGTGCCTCTGGATACCATTTGGGCTGCGTGGCCCTTTTCCCACTGACCCTGTGTCCCAACTTGGCTTATCATTTCCCAATCCCGGGAGGTGGGAGGGGCCTCCTTTCAGTCCAACCAGGAGGCCTCCCTGCCAACCCGTGTGACTTCCCAGCCCCACTGCCTGCTCTCCCTCCCTCTGCCCCTTGGAGCTGACAGCATGAGCTCATCTGGGCAGCCCAAAGGAAGGAGCCAGAGGGGAAACTCTGAGTCACCACGAGGCCATGGCCAGGACCCTGCTCCAGGGACAGCTGCTGTGGGAGGCCATGTGCCCTCCCAGGGCTGGGCAGGGGCAGGACACTGTGGGTGGCATCTCCCGGGCCCTGCTGAGCACTCAGGCCTCCCTCAGTGGTGGTGGAAGAGCCCAGAGGGCACCTGACTGACAGAGGGGACCTGGGGGTGGGAGGAGCAGTCAGTAAACAAAGCCCCTTCAGACAGGTGAGAAGACGGAGGCCCAAGCAGGGGTGAGTGTCACAGCCAATGCACCGAGCTTCCTTCCCCCAAACCCACTGCTCAAAGCAAGCAGCACAGACAGCGGGTTCTGCTGTGATGCTGAGATCCCTCTCCCGGCAGTGCCGGCTGCACCCAAAACCCCGGATGCCCAAGTGGAGGTGTGCAGGACTCTGCCCTCCAGACCCAGAAGGACAGCGGAGGGTGTGATGCTTCTGCAGCCCCAGCTTACCTGTGAGTCACCTGGGAGCCTCGCAGGCTGGACATGGTCTCTTCCAGGTTCTGTCGAAGGTCCAGGACATTCTGCACTGTCCTCTTTCTCTGGGACTCTGGGTCTGGCAGGGGGAGAAGAAGAGCTGAGTGAGCTACAGGGACAGGGAGGGGAGACTGACCACAGCCCCAGCAGGCTGGTCCCCACTTCTTATTTCCCCAAAGCCGACCAGCACAGCAGGACCCAGCCGGCCCTGGCGCGTGCCCATGGGCCCTCTGCAGCCCAGACCCCGGCTTCCGTGTCTGTACAGTCCTCTCTCAGCCTTCAAGTGAGCACCTCTGCCTCTGGCTTTGTTTGGGGAGGCCCTGCTTCTCACAGCAGAGGTTATGGGCAAGGGTTCCCAGGTCAAGTCCAGCTGGAACATCTGCCTAAAAACTGCTGTCTGGCCGTGTGCTGGTGTCCGACAACTACTCTTGGAGGAGGGGGACACCCTGATGTGTCATCTTTACCAGTTTCTGTGCTGCGAATATCTCTACTGTGGGCTCTTTCAACCTATGATGTGTCACCGAGAACAGGGCTGGGAAGAGACAACAAGAGCTGCTCTGGGGAGCAGGCTTCTGCACACCTGACCCCAGGCACTGGCTGGGGACATTCGGGGTTGCTTTATGGAATCCGGGAAGATGACTCCGACAGAGCCACCTAACGGTGAGGTGGCTGGTAGGGAGTGGGGGTGGAAGGCGAGTTCTGGGTAGTGTAGGCCTCGGGCAAGTGGCTCAGTCGTGAGTCAGGAGAATACATAGGTGCGGCCTCAGAGCCCTAATGATGGGCACCCTTTTATCCAATCTTGGTTTTCAGGCAGCCTGGACAGATGAGATTCTACAACAGCAAAGAGAAATTTCTCCTATCCGTTTCCAGGGTGCAAATAACATCCACATGGCTGTGGGGTGTCTGAGTACCCACGAAGATCTCAGAGAGCATTCTCTTCCCTTCCTCTGAAACACCCAACCAGTCCTTATCACACGCCTCCTCGGTGTCGGGCAGCACGCAGGGCCAGAGGACATGTGAAGAAGAGGGCTGGTCCTGCCCAGTGGTTCCCTTGGACTTTGGGATCTGAAGTCACTGAAGGCAGGAGACCCCACCCCACCCCAGTGTCCCCCCGGAAGACAATGGCAGCGGAGTTGGGGCTGACACACAGATGCTGCTGAAGCGACGCAATAAACCCAGGAGTCCAGAGTGTCCTGCAGGCGGCTTCCCTCCCCTCCATCCTCCAGTCCAGCCCTCCACCTCGCCATCCACAGACTCAGCAGGAAAGCGCGCTCCTCTTGGCTCTGAAGGAAACATTTCTGAACCCCTTAAGAGGAATTTTTTTCTAATGATTGAGTTCAGGCTGGCCAGCAGGCAGCTTGCTGTGACTGTTATGGGCCTCGGGAGGCAGGCGGGGCAGCAGGGCACAGGCTGCAGTGCCTTCTCCAGGGCTTTGGGAGACCTTCCCTGAGGACCAGCTCCAGACCCAGCCAGGTCCTTTCTCTCGTCCTCCCGGTGGACCTGGGCGCCCCCCCATCCTCGAAAGGCTAGTGCAATGGATCCAGCCCTCCACACTGGTGGCAAGAACAGGGACAAATGGCAGGCCTCTGTGTCAGCAGCCTGTGCTCTGTCCGCAGCCCTGGCGTCACTTCCTTGGCTGCCAGTGCCTATTTATCCTGGCAAGGGTGACCCTGGGAGCGGCTCTGTGGCTTTAACTGATGGCTTGGCATAGAGCACAGACAGGGTCAGAAAGTGTATCCATATATACTTTACAGTTTAATTCTAAAATGCCCACATGGGGACCAAGAACGTGGTGCCAAGACGGGGATTTCGATGCCTTCTGCGGGTCTGGCAGAGATGGGACAGGCATGCGCATCTCCAAGGGGTGTGTGTCCCCAAAGGGGAAGGCGACCAAGGGCTGCTCAGAGATCTCTCTGTGTGCCAGACGCTTTGCACACCCCATCTAGTCCAGTGCTTACATTCCTGGGTGATTTGTTCTACTGTCTCTCTTTACAGATGAGGAAACTGAGATGTAGACATGGAGTAAAATGTCCAAGGTCACGCCATTAGCATGCAGCACATGGCAGAGTAGAGCCCAGGAAGAAACTGGTATTTCTCTTTATCCATCACAGGGCCTCCCTGCACCTCCAGCACCCAGCACAGTGACTGATCTTTTCAGTAATGGACAGATGTGAGCGTGACTGTGCACACCTGTAATCCAACTATGGCGGAGGCTCAGGCAGGAAGATGGAAAGTTGGAGGTCAGCCTGGGCCTTTAGTGAGACTGTCTCAGAAGTAAATTACAAAGGACTGGGGATAAATTGGGAGTGGTGCCACACACCTGTGCTCTCAGTATTTAGGAAGCTGAAGCAGGGGGATCGCTGTGTGTTCCAGACCAGCTTGGGCTACATAGCGAGTTCAAGGCCAGTCAGAGCTACATGGGGAGACCCTGTCTCAAGAAACAAAAAACCAAAACCAACCAAACAAAAACTGGGATGTAGTTCAGTGGTAGAACATTTACTTGCCTAGCATGTGCAAAAGATTTCTTTTTTTAAAGGAAAGATATTTAAGCTACACGGGGGCCAGCTTCAAGGGGATCACTCTGCACTATGTAGTGTGCCAGGTCCTGGGACGTGGGGGTGGGGTGGGTACCTCGAATTTAATTCCTAGTGGCAACAGAAAGTGACGCTGTCCTACTTCTGTTGCCCCGGTCGTGGTGCCCTCTTTTCCCGGTCTCTTCCCTCCAAGACCTGCAGCCGAGTCCCCACCTCATTCCACGTCAGAGAGGCGGCACTGCCCTAGTCTTCTAGGCGCGCCCAGACTGGAGGCTCAGAGTCCTCGTCAGTCCACCCCATCACTGAGAGCCGTGAGGCTGAGGACCTGGGAGGCGGTGGCCGGCTGGAGCTGGCTGGGGAAGGGCACCTCCGCACAGGGGTGGGCTCGGGCATGCAGGGGAAGATAGGACAGGGCTCGATTTGCTGGGGGTGGAGTGAGGGGGATGGGCACCTGCTCTTGGCTCCTAGGCCGGATGGGTCCTGCAGAGAGGCCAGGCCCCTAGAGCTCCCTCGGTGCCCCGGCACTGCCACCTGGTGGCCACCCTGAGTACGCCACCCTGTTTCTCCCAGGCGCAGCTCAGGGGATGTGCGGGGGAGGGTGGCTGTCCTCCACATTCTTGGGCCACTGACATATGGCGGGAGGGCAGCAGTGCAGCCCCAGGATGAGGATTTACAGGCATTGGAAGGACAAGCCTCAGGTTCAAGAGGCTGCAGGCACTTTGTCCGGCTCGGGGGTGGGGGGGCGGCTTTGATATTCATACTGCTGACTCCCCCAAGGCAAAATTTTTACATTTTTAATTTAAAAGTATGAGTAAATTTCATTTGCAAAAGATTTCACCACACTTTACCTGGGCATGGTGGCCCATGCCTGTAATCCCAGCACTCTGGGAGGCTGAGACAGGAGGATCACAAGTTTGAGCCCAGCCTGGACAACTTAGTGACTTAGCAAGAACCTGCCTAAAAATAAAAAATAAAAAAGGGCCAGGGATGTAGCTCAGTGCAAAGACCCTGGGCCCAGTACTGAAAAATGAAAAAGAATTCATCCCCTCTGTCACCTGCACCCACTCCTGACGCCCACCCTGCCCTAAACCCTCTAAGTAAAAGCTTTTCTCCTTTCTCACCATCTCTCCACGAGGGTGAAGCTCAGGGATGGGTGAAGGTGTCTGAGGTGCACACCACTCTGTGGTGATGGTGACAATAACTAAAATGCCATGATTTGGTTTATCACTAAGTCGAGATGCCTCCGAGTGTCTCCCACCTCCTCCCTGGTGTCCTCCAATGGGGGAAGTGTGCAGGGTGCTCCTAGCCTCCGGCACCTGTGTGCAAATGCTGAGGTCCTGTCTAGGCCTCGGCCAGCTGAGCACATCTTCCTCCTCCAGCGCACACCAGGCCAGACACCTCCCATCCCTACTGTGAGGGCTGCTCCTGCAGAACAGGGTCTGGCAGTGAGAGTGGAGTGTGTGTGAAGCAGGGTTGGAGGGAGGCCAGGCAGAGCTGCTGTCAGCCCGAGGGTGACACTGTGGTCTGTGGGGTGGAGAGATGCTCATAATGTTATCCTGGGCTGCCGCTCCAAGCCTTTCCCTGCAAATGGAACAACCAGGGAAGATGTGTGTGCCCCTCAGGCTCAGAAGCGATGCAAAAGTCTCCCCCAAACCAGCTCACCATCACCACAACCAGTAGCATCCACCCAGCATGCACTAAGGCATCTACAGGGTAGGGTGGCATTTACTTCTACAAACTTTTGGCTCTTATTCAAGACCACAGAGCATACCATCCATGGCAAGAGGCTTAGGGCTAAGAACTAATGATCAAATATACTTGATTCGCAGGCGCATGTGCACACAGATGCTATGGAATGTTTACATGTGTGAGGCAAGACACTAGGCATATTCTTCACTCTATCTATGTATCTATCTATCGCAGTGGGGACTGACAGCAGGAGTGTTCTTTCACCAAATTACATCCCCACCTGGACACTTTTTTTTTTCTGGTACCGGGGATTGAACTCGGGACCTTGCGCTTTCGGGGCAGGTGCCGGAACCACTGAGCTAAGTCCCCAGCCCTGGACCCTCTTTTCTTGAGACAAGTTCTAACCAAGTTGCCCAGGTGGGACTTGAATTTCAATCCTCCTCCCTACCTAAATTCTGGGTTTACAGGTTTGTGCCACTGTGCCTGGCTCTGTGTTATTTGATTCGCCATGCTCAGCTCCGATTTTCTTCTTCTCCCCACTGCAATACAGCATCTTGAGATGTGTGTACACCCCTCAGACATACCTGCCTATGTGTGGCCCAGCCAGCAGTTTATGGAAGCACCCAGCAAGTTCTGCAATTTTGCAGACAGGCATGGGGCGATTTGGGTGGACACGTCTCATATTGCAACACAGAAAAGTGATTAAGAGATGCCAGAGGAGGAGAGGTGACTACTCCAGAGAAGGGAGTGCCCAGGAGCTCTGGGAGGGTGACAAGGGGGTCTGATGTCCGCACAGAGGACATCTTGTGCGTTAAGAACTTGCCAACCCAGAGTCTGAGATGCAGGGACAAAAGTG